TAAATGTACACTTGTATAAGCATACATAAATACACACACACACACAAACATATATATATATATTTAGAGAGAGAGAGAGAGAGAGAGAGAGAGAGAGAGAGAGAGAGAGAGAGAGAGAGAGAGAGAGAGAGAGAGAGAGAGAGAGAGAGAGAGAGAGAGAGAGAGAGAGCAACGCGTGTCGCCTGTGTGTACGCCTTATCGTGTAGGTGCCTGTGTGCATTAGCAGTCCTAGAGTCCCTTCGTCTTGATATGCGAGCTGGGAGGCAGCTTTCCCCGCGCCGTCAGACCGACCGACCGACCGACCGACAGACAGCGACCCCTCCGTCAGAGCCCACAGACCTCCTTCACCGTCCTCACCCATGGCTTCCGTACACGACTTATGCAACCTTTTAAGGCTTAGTATGCATCAGCTTTCAAAAGTGTGCCTAAACAATTGTTTTAAATAAATCAAAACCTGTCTCGCGACATCCCAAGCTCAACACATCCCAAGGAACAAAGAAGAGTGAAATATCCTGAACGTCCATGGCTGAGGGGCGTAAGCGGCCTGCGGGGAGCGAGCCAACCCGGGCCTTACGCGCGGTGGCTCCAAGGGCTGTAGTCCCATCCGCCCGCCCCTCCCGCACGCACACCTGTGCTCGTCAGTCGTTACCCATTGCCAGCAAAATACGAATGGAGATTTGGATAAACTGAATAACGTAGGGTAGGCCGGTCGGGGGTAGGCCTAAAGCCCCTGGCATGAAGTAGATGCAAGGCTGGCGGTGTTGCAGCGTGCATGACAAGTACAGATGGAGGGGAGGGACGATGACTGTTACGTTACTATGGTGCTCATGTGACTTGGGGACGCGGCAGCAAGGTCACGCCTCACACTGGTTGTAACACTACAACCACGGCCATGACCGTAAATTGTACTCTAAACGCATTATCTTGAAACGGTTTAAAATGTTGTGGACGTGTGTATGAATGACCGAACATGCGTATTTATTATACATGACTGTAGATGGCCGTTAAATGATACGTATATTGCCAACACACACACCGTTCATTTACGTACATATGCACGCTCGCTCTCTCTTCTCTCTTCCTCTCTCTCTCCCTACCCCCTCCCTCCCTCGCTCGCTCGCTCCCTCTCTCTCCCTCCCTCCTCTCTCTCTCTCTCTCTCTCTCTCTCTCTCTCTCTCTCTCTCTCTCTCTCTCTCTCTCTCTCTCTCTCTCTCTCTCATAATCATATACACACACACACATATATATATATATATATATATATATATATATATATATATATATATGTGTGTGTGTGTGTGTGTGTGTGTGTGTGTGTGTGTGTGTGTGTGTGTGTGTGTGTATGTGTGTGTGTGTGTGTATGTGTGTGTATGTATATGTGTGTGTATGTATATATGTATGTATGTATATATGTATGTATGTATATATGTATGTATGTATATATGTATGTATGTATATATGTATGTATGTATATATGTATGTATGTATATTTCATGTATGTAAGCTTAGTGCTGGTAGTAATAATGAATAAATAACTATAATAAAAACAAACAACAAATCCAACAAAGTTCCACATAGTTAACATTCGCCTACGAAACAAACAAAAAAAAAAGTGTTGGAGAACCATTGCTTCAGACAAGACATCCCCACCACACAACTCCACCATCACGAACACACCGGACAAAATGGCCGGCCGCCCTCCCATTCCCCACTATCACTGAGGTGGGAAGTGGCTGTGGGTTTTCAATTACATATCCAAGCTTTTTGGAATATATACGTGTTGGCATTAAAATAAGACAGAGGTAGTTGAGGATAGGAGGCTGTTGAGATCATTCTTTGTGGATTTTTTTCCCTCCAATATAGTATGTCATTCCCAATTGTCTATAATTATACTTTGCCCTTCTAACATCTGCTGTCATTCAGAAGAGGGTTTACAAATGCCTACTTTCCCACGAATTAATTCCATGTCAGTCTAATTACATCATTGTCATGAGAATTTACGGGACGACTTTCATTGCGAGATAAATGCCAAATGCCATTTTCATAAAACTAGCCCCATATTACATTGTAAATACCGTATTCAGTTAGAGATAAGCTCGATATGCATTATCTTTCGCCCCCCCCCCCTCCGCCGCCCCTGCTTGAACGGGGGGGTACGATCTTCATGGGGGTAACATTGTCACGACCCATGTGACGGCCAAATCTTTCAGAACAATTTACCTTTCGCCTATTTACGAGAGCATGTGACGGCAGCTGCTGTTTAAAACACGGTGTGAAATCATGTTTTGAAATCACCCAGCAAGCACCCACCGCAAGATCGATGTTTTTATCGTCTTCAAAAAGAGCCCGAACATATATGACATTCCCGCCAATGCCTGCGGCCCTTCTACCCCTCCTCCACTTGGCGTGAAATTTCAAAAATCAATTGTCCAAGAGCTTCACTTGGACCCGACTTCAGGCATAATGCTGAACGCCACCTTGACACATACTATTCATTAATCTAAGCAGAAAATACAAAGCGAAAGAGAGAGAGAGAGAGAGGGAGACAAAAAAGACAACTTTGAGATAAGTCATGACCTTCGATCCATTTAAATGCGGGAAAAATCGCCAATTTCCCCTTCAAACTTTAACTGACAGCGTCAAAGGACAAGAAGAAAAACAAAGAACTCCCCTGACCTTCTCTCAGACCAAGTTGTCGCAGCGCCAACTTTAATCACTTTCAAGCAACAAAACGTGAAGTGGGAAAAAGGGTTAGCTTTACCTGCTCTACTCTTCAAACATGTAATAGTAAATCCGATGTCACTTCTACAAATAAATGACCAATAACCCCGTTCCCGTTTCAAGGGCAAGGAGGGTCCATTATCAACAGTGTGCAACAGGGCCAGAGTCGTAAGACCTCTTCTGACATGACGGGGGGGGGGGGGGGCAGAGAGAGAGAGAGAGAGAGAGAGAGAGAGAGAGAGAGAGAGAGAGAGAGAGAGAGAGAGAGAGAGAGAGAGAGAGAGAGAGAGAGAGAGAGAGAGAGAGAGAGAGAGAGGGAGGTGGGGGGGAGGGGGCGGGGGAGAGGGGAAAATCTCCCTCCAACTAGTGTACATTTTCCGTATATTCCAAGTCTTTTCCCCACCCCCACTCCCCCAAAAAACGCACAGCATCAACCCCAATCAATAACCCCCCACCCCCCCACACTTTTTCCCTCACGCAAGTTTACACCACCCTTAAAAAAAAAAAAAACTTTGCCGCCCTTCTTTTTCAACCTCTCGCGACATGTGTAAATCCCAGCACCAAAGTCCACAACCATAAAGCACGTGTTCCCCCCCCCCCCCCTTCATAGGTTAGCAATATCTCTCAGGATAATATTTTTCTACACCATGTCCATCCCTCAAGCTAACCAGCCTATCTAACACAACTTAGTATGGCTGTCAGTAAAATCACTCATTCACACAAGCCCCCCCCCCCCCCCCACCGCCACCTTTTTATCCAGGCAACGTTTATTCAGTGTCCAAAAGCAGCACAATGTGAACCCATACAAGTACATAAAGAATTCCACTCCTTTCAATGTCCCAAGTCCGAAATCATCAGCAAACTTGGGTGCAAGTCTTAAATCGTCATAGAGTTAAAAAAAACTTTCACTTCAATAAAGAGGAAGGAAAAAAAAGTTTGACCGCGATGCTTAATTGTCCACCTAATGACTCATGATGCGGGGGGATGTACCAAACCCCAACGATATCACCTTCAATTAATGTCTCATTAATCAGTTCCTGTTAACTTCCGTCTTATGTCACCGTTTTTGCATAATTGATTAACCGGTTTCCAGCACATGGAATCACAATCACGTTTTTTTAAGATTACTTTTTTCATATTTTCTTCACCCAGGGATGTATTTCCTTTTTTCACAGGCGTTTCAAAGCAGCCCCTTGGGTCAGTTTTCTTGTGTTTCAATTGTCGTCATTTCCGATCAATTCAAAAATCACACAAAAATATGTACTTCTTCGCATTCTCAACAATACACTAATCACTATAAATCACAATGCGGATTCACTTTCGAGAAGAATGATAAAAAAATCTCCAAATTCGCATAGGCCTACACCGGGTTCCTCCCCGATGCCCCGTCAGGTAACAGGACAGGCAGGGCTCTCGGGGGGCGTCGTAGGCCTACCAGCAGCAGCCCGCGCAAAGGCCAGACCTACCTCTCCGTGTTCCTCGCATCTCCCGTCCGGCGTGTTCTCCGGAAGGAAGTAGATCCTGAGCGACACGAGGATCTGTCCGGAAGAGCGGTCCTCCCACAGCAACTGAGCCTCGCCGACGGACACGATGTCTTCCTCCTCCCAGATCCTGACGAAGAAGAACTCGCCCAGGGACAATATCCGCTGTTTGCCATGGAGTGTGTATTTGAAAGCCTTGTAGAACGTGTAATTGCCGTGGTGGCCACAGGGCGAGCCCACAAACTGCAACAAGAAAGAGAAAAGAGGATAAAAAGGCAACAATTCTCGGCCCACTTATCCTCGGCTTCACACACGAGCCAAGCACAAACCTGCATTATCTCCAGCCGAGCCCAGACCTTTTGGCTCGTTTCTCCTCACGTAGGCCTCGCATTTCCACACATTTTTCACAGAACACGGACGGTATATTTAAACACACCTCAGTATCGGTTACGTACCTGAATCTTGTGATTAGTCATAGTAAAAGGGGAATTATTTGCACAGAACCTCGCACGCACGCCACTCACATCGTCTACTTTGTATTTACTATAATTACGTGACGTCACAGGTTGATCCCGGTGACGTCACGCGGTGGGCGGGGCTTGACGCGCGTCTCGGGGGGAAAAAATCTAGTCTTTACAAAATATTTCCAATATTACCATTCACTAAATCGCCATCGAATAACATCTTTGGATACCAAGTAACTAAATTAATTTACTTTCTATTAAATTTTATTTTCTGATCATATATCTCAGCGAAAGAACTTAAATATCGGGAGTAATATTTTCACAGAGGTTCCAATGATGTTCTCTTCCTCCCAGCTGATCCTGTTTACAACAACGTCCCGAGAAGCAGGACCTGCGAGAGGGTTTGTGTTTTAGGCTTTTTTCTCGTCCAAGGAAGCACTTTAAGGAACTTTTCTCTTTTCAGACGGTTCAAGAGATAACTCATCTACAGAAAGTAAATGAAATTGAAGTCTGTTGTGTGAAGAATATGGGTTGTAAAAGGGATATCTTCTACCGGGTTGGAATACGTGTGAGAGAAAAACCGTCATTCATGAAGACATTTAATTCAGTTATTTCAGTTATTTCAGTTATTTCAGTTATTTAATTTAGGTGAAGTTTTTGCCCGTAATTATTCTTGCTTTTTAAGCTTTGCAGATTTCTCGTTATCATTATCGCTTATTACCGTCTAGATTTGCAATAGCTAGGCTTTTTATATGGTCTATTATATTAAAGAAAACTTCACTCGTTTAGTATTGTCTTTTAACCTTTTTTTTGTTAGTAACTAGTTTTTTTTAACACATTATATCATCAGTATTTTAAATATTAAGTTTGAGTACAATATAATATATTCTTAAAGGTCTTAAGTGAGTGGGGAAAGGTAGACTGAAAAGGCCATTGGAGGGCTCATGAATATCGTTCTGGGGTAATTAGGGCATTAATGTTATGAATATTATTCTTTGGTCATTTGTGGGTCAGAATTAGGAGAAAAGGCCTTGAGTAATTAGTTAATCCTTATGAATATCTTTCTCAAGTAATTAGTGATGTTATGAATATCATGCGTTGGTAACTAATGCATCCATGAATATTGGTGTCAGGTATCTAGTTGATCCATTTTATGAATGATATTCTTTGATACTTATTTGTTTTAACCACATTTAGTGTAATCACATCTAATCCAAATTAGATCCGATTTGATGTACCCAAACCATATAAAATCCAGAATGATGCCTTCACTCCTTATCCATCTGTACCCAAGAGCATTATTCACCTTAACCTGGGTAACCCTTTCAGATAGTTGTCTGTTTGATGCTTTGCCAGGTTAAATATAAATGACGTGGCACAAATACTCTTACGGAATTATTTTTATAAACTACCGTTGGATGCGGTTTTGGAGAATACAGGTTTAATGGGATAAGATAGTATATTATGAATTCATAATTAGAACGCTAGAGAACATTTTTCTAAATGCTCGAGGCATAATTCTCTGTCATCGCTATGGCCGTGTGCATCATGTGTGGCCATAGATTATAAATAAACTATTCTCCTAAAGCATTATATCACTCATCTTGGTCCTATAATAGCCTTGTTATTGTGTGCTAATGAATGGCTAAATTGCCATTTACTAACTATTTACACCAACTATTTTCTTGATATTTGTGTATTTTTCTGGTGTGCCAACTATTATTGATTTACCGGTTACTCTGAAACTTTCTGAAATGACTGATATGATTTCAAGGTCACAATGGAAATTCAGTATTTAGTTAAATCAGTTATACACTTGAATGAATACTTTTGAATGTTATTGTGCATTTAAGGAAGGCACTACAATTTTAGTGCACGAGAGTAGGTCTGTCATGTTGTCAGTATTTGAAATTGATAAACTAATGAAATCTAAAATATGACCCGTCTTTGAGAGTTCCTGTAGCAATAGATAATAGTAGTTATGTGATATAGAATTAAGGTACTCGTTACAGCTTTTTCAAACTTCATCTTTCATTGGTAAACAGTTGAATATGTTTTGTTTAAACTGATGTGGATATGTCAAGAAAATAGCCATCCCTTAGAAAAGAAATAAAATATATTAACCAAAGAAAATTACTTTCAAATCAACAGGCCAGCTATAAGTAAGGGCTTTCTTGTTGCATATTTTCAATGTATTGTCCAACTTGCCTTTTAAAGGCATTTCTAAGATAGCTCCTGGGTAAATCTTTACAGTACAGATGCACTCGCCAGAGACTAAATCCATGTCACAATATCTATTCAACAATCTAACACTGTGAAGGGCAGTGCCTCAGTATACACCGCAAGTTAGGGTTGAAACTCTGGAACACTGAGCGGTGCATACGTTAATCTTTTTCCTTTATCTGGTTTGTGTCCAATTATTTCTCGTACTGATGACTACAATGTTTTGTTCTCTGAAAGAATATCACTTTCATTATCCCTTACTGTAGTGCATTAACCAGTTCGTTTGTATTATGGAGATGTAGGCGTGATTACTGTATTTTTGGTAGGGGGATATACATTGACAATACATCAGAGAGATTAGTCATCAAATAAGAGACAAAGTCAAGCTCTGCTCTGCCAAAATTTACATGGAGGATGGTTGCTGACCCTAATACCATAGTGCCGTGAGATGAAGAGGCAAGTCGGATAGCTGTGCATACAGTACACTATGTGGGTGAGAGCTGTGCATACAGTACACCATGTGGGTGAGCAGACTGTAATGGAATGACATTATTAGGCCTGTACAATCTTATTTTGCATTAGGGTAGAAATCAAATTTGTTTTATACATGTTGTCTTGCCTTCCCCACAGGTCACTCAGGCTTGTGGGATGGGTTGCTATTGCTAACTTGAAAAATGAAGGATTACACAAAAATTTAACAGCAGATTTGTGCTGACTGCTGCAGAATGCACAAGGAATTGTAAATCCTGTCTGCAAAGGTCTTTTTTCTGTAGACCAAAAATTTAAGATGACCGCATGGCACTCTTTGGTTTCTGTTATACATTTACCAGCAGGAACTTCTAAACCTCCCAGGCATTTTTAATCAAATGAGAAATCAGTTCTTTTGCATCTGTCTTGCTATATGTATGTATGGTTAAGCATAAAGAATGGAGGCCATGGTGTCACTTTACATTGTCCCAACCTGAGTAAATCCAATAGTCTATTGTTTTTGTTTTTTTTTATCTCTTCATTGTCCTTGTTTCAAAATAAAGTTAATACCATTCAAGGCAGTGGGCTAAGTCAAAGGTTAAAATAATGTAACGAAGAAAAAAAGTGGTGTATTCTTCAAAATCTCTTATATTTTATAATTCCATTCAATACTTTCCTAGGGTATCTCTTCTAATTGGCATGAGGCTAGTTCCAGACTTGCTGGGGTCTTCTAAATGTTTACAATTGAAACCAAATGTTGATAATGTGCACAAGATTCCTTATTTAACAAAACCTCCACTAAAGGTATTTGGCAAAAAAAAATAATAATAGGATAAAAAAAATAATAATAAATATAGAATTGTTGGAATAAAGTGCAGAAGCAGTGGATCATTACTGGATAGGACTGAGGACTGTATGCTTTCCATCTCGGATAAAAGCAAGAAAAAAAAAACACATTACTGGGGTCTTCAAAAGTCACTGTGGGTTAGTAATATTACATTTTTTTGTTTTACTATTATGTACAAAATCACAGATATGTAAGAGGTTACTTGCATATGTAATTTTGGTAGCGGGTGCAGTGAGAGTAATCACATGGGATATTAAGATTGCAACAGACGTCACAAGCATAGAACATGAATGCTATATTGAAAACCTAACCTACTATTCCATTATGATTAAGTTTGCCATTTGTAGGTTTAATTTTTTGTCAATTTACATTAGTTTTAGGCCTACTTTCTTCTTCATCTAAGATATTGTCTGTAAATGGAAAATGGCTCCATTTGGAAAACGGATTGTCTTCCGAGAATGATAAAGTCATTATTATAGCAGCCATTTACCTTTAGTTCCTTTGTAGATCCCCTGTGCAAAACCTGCACATTGCATAAAGAAGGAAAAATAAAATGAAATCAAATTGAATAATAAGTTGAGTAAAAGGTTTTAGAATTACAGAAATATAAAGATAACTTGAGATAGTGAGACAATATTGTGCAGTGTAATATCTCCGAGAAAGGAAGCAGGAAATAGTGCAGAAGTATTGATATCTTCATATGTATACAAACAAATCATTTGCTGCAATGTTATTTTACTGTTATTATCAGTTGCAGTATCACGTCATCATTTCCAGTGACACCATTAACAAATATGCTGTTACGGTTATCATATTTCTTTATTTGTGTTATTATTTGGATTGTAATTATTATGATAATGATTTTGATTATCATCATCATGGGGAGTAAAATGATCATTACTATGGGTGTTCTAACAATCAGATATTAACCCAAAACCGATGGACATGGCATATATGTACATGCCGTGTATGTACACTGTGAGTTTATTTTATTAATTGTTTTTACACATAGATGGCCCCATTTGTACTAAGTCACCAATAAGCCAATTACGCCATTTATCTTATATTGCAGTTACTAATGTCAATTACATTACAGTAACTATCATGACTATATTGGTATTCATTGCATTAGTAAAAAAAAAGTTTTTCCTGTAAATTCAAGGAAAGGGGAAAGCAGGTAAAGTCCCAAGGTCTACTAATTAACTCATTTCTGGCTAATTACTAGCAGAGTCATCTATGTGCAGAGATATTTCACAAAAAGAAGAAGAAGAAGGAAGAAAGAAAGATGTGAAGAAGGATGACAGTTTTGCAATACTGTACATCATTCATACTAAAGGATATAAAATTTACAATCTTTTAGTCATTTAGGAAATCTTTATTATAAAAGAAAAAGAAAGAAAGGAGAGAGAGACAGAGACTAACAGAGAAATATAATTTTTTTCAGTTTCTGATTACTTTAGATATACCTTTTATATCATGTGAATTGTGTAGCTGTAGATATACGTTACTGAAAATCTTTTGCAAAACCATTTCCTTAACATTTCATATATGTTTTTGCAAATATTGGAAAGCAAATTTTAAGGGGGGGAATAATCAGTCAGCTATTCAAGTCTAGAGTATTTACAAATATCATCATCTATTATTTTGAGAGGCACCTGTTGATCCAGAGAAAATGATAGATATGTAAATTGAATATTGGCAAAGCTGTCGTGGATGACAAACAGCTGATATTTGCAGACTTCGTAAGCACAGTGCAGTGATTTGCTTGTTCGTATAATTGGACTGATGCTACATTTACAAGGTCATTAGTGGATGTGAAGTTTAAAAGAAAAAGTAGTGGGGATGAAGGAAATGAAATTGAAC